CTTTACCAGACCACCCTTGATGATCCGGTATCCCGGCGGCAGCATGGCCGCGGAGGCAAGACAGACGCCGTCACCGGCTGCGAAAGCCAGATCGTCGTAGGCGTCTTGGTATGGGATACGTTCGCGTGATTCGACGCGAGCTCCGTAGACGGTGGGTACGGACTTGCCGTATAGCACGGCAAAGGGTGGGTATTGGTTTTGAGACTGATGTGAGGAGTTGAATGCAAGCTCTTGTTTGAACCGAAGGACCTCTGCTAGAGTACGCTCCAGATAAGTCACGGCTGTCGCACGGGGTATGGTCGTAGTTGTGGTAGCCTTGGTGTTGGCTGAACCCTTGAAGTTGGGGGTTGGTCCTACCGCGCTCTCCAGGTTCGGGGGAGCGACCGGCGCAGATTTGCCGGTGGCCTCACTGGAAGGATTTGCTGTTTCGTAAGGGTGCTGGGTGTGATTATGTGATGCCTGCTCGCCATTGGCATCATCCGACGAGGCTAGACTATCCTTACTGCCTAGGACGGTGGAGATGCGCTTTCCGAGAAGAGGCAGGTTGTCCTTGAAGCCTCTGTTGTTTCCAAGTGGAAGGGCCGGATTGATACAAGGAGAGAGCCGGTAGTCGTCCCACGCCTGGGCAGAAAAGAAATCCACACGGTACTCTTCCTTCGTCCGCTTATTGATAAAACAGTGTCCGTCCTCTGGAAGCAGGGCAAAGCTGGTACGGAAGGTGAAGTTCACCTGAGCTGTAAGGACGCGGGAACTAAGCAGCACATCATCCCCATTACGGAGAGGGCCTAAGATGTTGACACAGTGCTGCGGGACGCCTGCATAGAGGACTCCTGCAAAGAGATCCGGCCGCTGATTAACGGCATGCCGTGTGATGAGGCCGCCCAAACTGTGGGCGATGACATAGGCTCCGCGCTTTTCGCGAGGGGTGTCTGGGGAGTTACAGGGCAAGCCTTCTAGAAACTTGACTAGTCGCTTAGCAAGTAAATGCGGACTCAATCGCCAGTCGTAACCATAATCGTGGACTCGGAGATCCCCGTTAACGGCGTTTGGGCACTTTTGAAGGCGCTTCATCAAGCGGCGGCAAATGTCGACTGGGCCAACATGAGACAACACGCCAGATGGGATGATAGTCTCTTCCATGCGCTCCTCGTCTTCCGGATTTAGGCCCACCTCCAGATCCACCTTGCGAAGATTCAGACCGACTTTCATCGGAACCCACAGTTGACGCTGCGGCGGTTTGGCGGACCGCAAGACTGAGCCTCGATAGCCTCCGAGAATAACAACATCACCGGTCATTTCCGCCATGGCCTCAGTCAGATTGGGGTACTGTGCACTGATACTAGTCCGCGGAGAACGGGCCCGAGGTGGTAACGAATCATCACCCGGCACCTCCCGAGCAGAGTGTGGCCGCTCTGGCGTGGCGTAGGTGTGACCCCTGCGATTAGTTACATCGGACAGAAAGGGCTTATAGCCCCAATCACTTCGGAGGTCTTGCAAGTGCAGTGTGGGCATACTAAGCAGCCGGCTGCTGGAGTCCTGGAGGCTGTCTTTAATCGCCTTGAATCGGCTGTTGACCTGCGAATGGATGTGCTCGTAACGGGGACGCTGCTCGAGAGATGATGCGGTTGATGAGGCTCTCAAGTATAGAGATTGGTCTGAAGACGATCTCCGTAGGAGGGAAGGAGGGCCTGTCGTACTGGGTCTTCGTGCATACGAGTGTCTAGCGGTCGTGGCGCCCCCGAGAGGATCGAGTTCAGATACTTGCTCCTCGGGGCTATCTCTGGACTCCGGGTCGGAGAATGACTTGCGCCGGGACTGCAACGTGGATTCCTCCTTTTCTTGTTCTAGTGCCAGCTTTGACGCCGGTTTTAGGGTTTGACTGCGAGCCCGGACATGGAATGGCGAGCCGGGTCGGAAGGAGAGCGATGACCGTTTAGTTAACAGATCTGGCAGGAACTTCTTCAGGCGTATATTGGTCAAGGAGTCGCCGGACCATGCCCTAGGTCGAAGGGGTAACCCGGATTTCAAGATCGAACGGGTGAAGCTGGTTCGCTGCCCGTCTTTGGAACCCCGGGCGCTGTCACGCTGTGGCGCCGCCAAGTCCGCTGAGGAGGCTTGAGCATCACCCGGCTTAGCAGCCGGTTCCTCAGGCAAAGCCTCTGGTTCGTCGGTAATTTCAGATGCAAAAAGACCCTCCGGTTCCGGCGTATCCGGGATTGTGTCGAAGTAGCTGCTCTGCCGTTCCATCATTCGGCTTTTCTCTTCCGCAGGCGTGAGGCGCGCCTTCATACGGCTCTGGGCGCGACTCATGCTAACCCCGACCACTTCATTGGCCTCATCTTCGCGGACGGCGTCCGGGAAATTTGGATCCTCACTGTCGGAACTCGAATTGACGGTGAAGGTGGGCGAGTGTTGTGCAGCTGGCGAGGTGTGTGCAATGACGGGGACCTGACCATTGGTCCCCGCTGGATGTGCAGGAAGCGCCATGGTTAAGGTGGGCGGAGAGGGGAGAAAGAGCTGAGATTATGTATGACCCATGCAGAGAAGAGGGTTTAAAAATGGAGTGATGAGGGAAGATAAGAATAGATGGAAAGAGAAAGGCTGAGACAGACTAAAGAGGGCAGTTCGATTAGGATCCATCACATGTCAGAGTGGATAGATGGATGGGTTACTATGGGATAGCGCACTAAACTAACGGTTTGAATGTCTATGATGGAGCATTCGTATTCGCGTTAGTGTGGCTCCATAGGGGCGAGACTGGAGCGTGCTGGAGGCGATCAGCAAATCAAGCGCATGGAGACCATAGCAATAACGGGGACGCGAGAGAGCGTGGGACGGAACACAAGATTATTTAATAATAAATGGATTGGATGGACGAGAGGAAGAAGTGGACAGGTACCATCGAAGGAAGGGAGAAAAGCAAAAGAGATAAACCATGACGAGCAGGGGAGGAGAAAAATAGAAAAACTAAGCAAGAGGGCCAAAAAAAGTCAGAGAAAGAGAGGTTCCACCGCACAGCCTCCGGGCGTTCCGGAAGAAGCTTCCTGTAGTCAGTCGCGACGATTATTTTCCAGCTTTCAAGCAATGGAGCAGGAAGGCTGTACTCGCGCGACGGGATTATTCTTGGGATCCGACCATGGATAGTGCCGGATAGTTCAACATAGCTGAGCGTTAGTGGGATGCTTGGCTGGAGGTTAAGTCAGTGGCTGATCACCAGGAGGATTTGCTGTTCCGGAGCGGAGCTGAGGTCAGCTTGGGCTTCACCAGAGGATTGGGTGCGCTGGAGTTGGTTCACGAAGGGGAGATTCAGCAAGAGATTGGGTGGAGAGGCATCGGAGGCCATCCGTGAAGAGCCACACGGTCCATGGGTTGGTTCAATCTCGAGTTCCATACTGCATGCACACAATCAGTCCATTGGCAGTTGCGATGAGATCATGTCCCAGGCCATAGCATAACCATCACATCACATCATCTAATACAGTAAAAGTAGATGCATATCGTCATAGTTTGGCTCGGTTGGCGGGCAGCCGAATGCAACAGAGCAAATGAGAGAGAAGCAAGATGATTTGAAGGGGAATCAAGATGAAGATGAAGATGGAGCACCTCAGGCGCCAATCAGCTGACAGCCAGCAGACTCAGTGCCACACCACAACACACAACTTGTGCACTCACTAGTTATCTAGTCTACTTCGTATAGTCAGAAAGTAATCTTGACTGTGTTGCTTACTTTCTAATATAATTGGCCTGCGACCTGTCCATCGCTCGAATCTCACTAACAATGAAGATTGGCACAACTGTTCCCTCAAGTCTCCGCATGCCAGCACGCCGGAATGTGGCTATCCCGACGCTAATTGGCATCCGTCCACTCATCCAACTCCAATTGCTACGTGCTAATTTAGAGCCGTCTCGAGGTCCAGCCGCCCTCTGCGCAACAAAGGAAATCCGCGTCATGGTACACATCATATTCATAGATTCACACTAATACAAGCACTAGCAGATCGCGTATTCGTATCTCATTAACAGAAAAAGGCGGGGTTTTCACTCCCATAGCGTTCAGAATCACCGCTGGGTTCTGTTGAAATTCCCCGATTGAATCTCCTGCTCACCTCCTCGAGCAATGGCCGAGTTTTTGGCGGCCCCTTCTTCGTGCCCAAAGGCCTTGTCGACCGCCGCGTTAAGCCCACCTCGCAATGACTCCCCCGCTCCCTGTTTCAGGTCAGCATCAGCCGCTCCTTAGTGTCGGATAGCCCGCGGCCACTACGGAAGAGTGCCTGGCTAGACTAGACTGCTTGTTGGAACTTACATGGATTCCTGCTGCGGCCGACTTCACACCGCTGCCGACAGATTCCCCTGCCTGGGCCGACTTGGACTGGGTGCCGTATGTGCTACCGGATGATTGCGTCGGTTGGTATCCTACTCCGCTGGTGGTTTGCGACCCGGAGACTGGGGCGGTATTGTAGCCAGCTGCGCTTGAAGCAGCGCCTCCAGCAGCGGTAGCAGCTTTGTTCGGTTGCTGGTAAGCGGCTCCGCCGGTGGTATCGGTAGGTTCACGCATGGCTCCAGAGCCAGTTGCGTTCGTCGACTTCGAAGACATTTCACCCGTCTTGCTGTTGACGCGGGGGTCGAGCTTATTGAGAAGGAAAGACTTGTGAGGGCCCGCCGTGGAGCTTTGAGAGTTTGATACGTTCTGGGTAGCCTGGGGATGTACGTTGCCGGTGGTTGTCGCACCCGGGGCGTACTGAGCGCGGTTGTTCAGATCGCTATCGACGCGGGGATCGGCCTTGTTGGCTAGATCAGATTGATGCGGTCCTGCAGTGGTGCGCGCAGGGCCGGTATTTGCTTGACCGGTGCTGGTGATGCCGCTGCCAACTTGGGTCCCTGTTGCAGTGGTTGCGCTGGGGTTCTGGTTGGGTTCACCAAAGGTGGAAGAATAGTATGGAGGCTGAGTACTGCTCATGGTGATAGAGTGTCAATAAGTAGGTTTTGATATGTGGATATGATGCTGTTAAGGTAGTATCCATTCCCCACCGTCTTATGTCTTCATCTTATATAAGGAGGCGAGGGCGAGTGTCTGGAGCCTTCGACATCATCGATCAGCCTGTGACGTCAGACTAGACGTAGCCATGGTTGAGACGCGACCATCACTGCCATTGTTGGTTTTGAATATTGTTGCAGTAAGTCTAAGCAGATGAGACCAGCCACAGTGAACGCAGTGATTGGGGATAAGACATGCTGATGATACTATTCATCTTCAATGTCAACCAGTATATGGTCACGTGGTTTCTTATCGATAAGACTGCAAAACACAATGATGTCATGAAGCCAAAAAAAAAAAATGTGCGGGATGCAGAGAACAAAGCTATACCAGTCATAGTCTAAGCAGCCATAACTTGCAGAAGAAATGGCCAACAATAAAGGACAGACCGACTAATCAAAAAGAAGACACAATAACTCCGAGCCGAACCCCTTCAAGGGACCAACCCGACCAGAGTGCTCAGCCGCGGGGACACCGGAGGAGTTACTACAAACAGAGCGAAGGCCTAGTGTGGATTGCGGACGAGCCGAGGTTCAGAACGCCTCAGGGTCAACGCCGAAAAGATGGGCTTCTCCAGCCCCCATTCTCATTCACTCATTCACTATACTATCTTCATTCACTTTCTGTATAGATAATTTATCAGATTAGCCTTCAAAATGACCATCACAAACCGCCAACTCATCTACGTCAAGGCCCCAACGGCAGCCATCGACCCATCCGTGACGACGGGCACCTTCAACCTCAAGAGCACCACGATCGCCTCCAAAGACAATGTCCCCGACGACAAAGTCCTCGTACGCATCCACTACCTGGCCCTTGAGCCCGCCATGCGCCAATGGCTTACAGCCAAACGGTCGTACATCGCGCCCGTGAAAATCGGCAGTATCATGCGCGGCCAAAGCATCGCCCAGGTCCTCTCCGTGGGCAGCAGCCTGAAATCTCAATACAAAGTTGGTGACTGGGTGATTGCCTACTCGGGATGGCAGGAATACGCATTCCTGGGCGCCAAAGAGGCGCAAAAGATCTCCGTGCCTGCGGGCTGCAAGCCCACGGACGCGATGTCCGTGCTGGGCATGACTGGCCTGACGGCGTACTTCGGCATGATGGATGTGGGGAAGCCGAAAGCAGGAGATACGGTGGTGGTGTCTGGGGCAGCGGGAGCGACGGGGATGGTGGCGGGCCAGATTGCGAAGATTCAAGGAGCAAAGAGGGTGATTGGGATTGCGGGAAGTAAGGACAAGTGTGAGTTCTTGTGTCGGGAGTTGGGATTTGATGTGGCGATCAATTATAAGGATGAGGATTGGAAGAAGCAGCTCAAGGAGGCGACGCCGGAGTATATCGATGTTTACTTTGATAATGTGGGCGGGGAGATTCTGGATGCGTGTTTGGGGCGGGCGGCGCAGTTTGCCAGGTTTGTCATTTGTGGTGCGATTAGCCAGTATAATGTTGCGAAGCCGAAGGGACCGGCGAATATCATGCAGGTTATTGTGAGTATCTCTATGCCATATTTGCGTGGGAAATATGCTGACAGAAGCAGTCGCAACGAGTCAAAATGCAGGGCTACATCGTGTTCGACTACGCGAAGCAGTACCCGGATGCGTTGCAGGATTTGGCCAAGTGGTTAACGCAGGGCAAGATCAAGCGCAAGGAGCACATTGTCAAAGGGGGGTTGGAGTCGGCGCCGCAGAGTCTGGTTGATTTGTATAAGGGAGTGAATACGGGCAAGATGATGGTGGAGGTGGTGCCGGCAGAGGAGGGAATCAAGGCCAAGTTGTAACCACCAACATACCTTGTAGCATTTTGAACAATATACAACAATCTTAGTAAACACTTTAATGATAATTCAGATCCTAATAGCCTAGTTCGAGTCTACGAAATGGACTGTTGTTGACTGTTAACTCATAATGACCACTGCGGCTGCAACCATGGCTGAACCACCATTACTTCATACTCAACTAACGTCATACTGATCCACCACCATCATCACCACCACCACCACCACCAGGGACTCGACTGTGTAATGGCCGTGCCACAGCACCAATGGCACCATATAAACCGGATTCAACCCTAGACTAGACACCAATTCCACCATGTTGCAGCGCCAATTCCTCCGTGCATCTCTGCTACGTCCTACCCACGCAATCCGCTACAATACTACTAGTAGTATCCGTCCGACTATATATAACACGGGCACATACCTCAGCTCTACACCACTATACTCTACAACTCAGAAACACCAGTTCTCTCACACAACCACCAGAACCCAATCCGATCTGCACAAAATGGCCTCTGCAAGCAACGAACACTTTAAGCTGGAGAACCTCTTCGGCGTGAAGGGCAAAGGTACCCCCCCCCCCCCAAAACCCAAACACCCAAAATATCCTATATCCTACTCCTCTACCTACCTGCAAATGGAACTGACAAACAACAGTGGCCCTAATTACCGGCGGCGGCTCTGGCATCGGTCTAATGGCGACACAAGCGCTCGCAACCAACGGCGCCAAAGTGTACATAACCGGGCGAACGCAAGAGAAACTCGACCGCGTAGCCAGCCTCTACAACAAGAACATAAGCGGCGAAATCATCCCCATAGTCTCCGACATCACCTCCAAAGAATCGATTACCAAGCTAGTTAAAGAGATCGAATCCCGGGAATCCCACCTCTCAATCCTGATCAACAACGCGGGAATAAGCAGCAGCACCGACAACACCGAGCCCAGCGAGGCGCAGGACCTCAAGAAGACCCTCTTCGACGAAGCCACGCCCATGAGCGAATGGGAAGATACCTACAGGACGAATGTAATGCAGCTGTATTTCACCACCACTGCTTTCCTGCCTCTATTGCAGAAGGGCTCGGAGAGAGAAAAAGGATGGAGCAGTACTGTTGTGAACATCACCAGTATTTCGGGAATTGTGAAGGTGTCGCAACATCATTTCGCGTATAACGCTAGCAAGGCGGCGGCGATTCATTTGACGAAGATGTTGGCGCATGAGGTTGCTGATAGTGGGTTGAGGATTCGGGTGAACAATATTGCTCCTGGAGTGTTCCCGAGTGAAATGACGGCCGGGGAGAGTGATGAGACGCAGAAGAGTCACATACCCAAGGAGAAATATGAGGGCAAGGTGCCGGCTGCGAGACCAGGCAAGGATGAGGATATGGCGAGTGCGGTGCTGTTTGTTAGTACGAATCAGTATTTGAATGGGCAGACGGTGGTTGTCGATGGGGGGTATGTTTTGGCTGCTGGGACTGTCTAGTTTCTTTAATTAAGGGGTTGAGTATGGTTTAACTTATGTATGATGGAATGTGTAATGTTATTGATGTAAATCGAGGTTGTACATCCATTCTGATCTCATGACTTCAGATGCTTTGATCCGTCGATTTGCATCTGGGTTTAACATTGCGTATACCACGTTCTTACATTGTGCCTGTCACTTCAATTAGCACCAAAGGATCAAACAACAAGAATAAGAAACCAGAGAAAAGACTCACCTCCCCCAACCCCTCAATAGCACTATATCCCTCCCTCCTCTTCCTCCCCGCAAGATACTCCGCATACCTTCCATCCTCATCCTCACTCGCACTCCGCCAGAGAATCCTCCCCAGCCTCAAAACGAGGTATATGATACCGGCAGCCCAGACATCCACAGCCCCGGGGTCACCCCTCCCCTTCTCCCCAGACGAGCACGTATACCTCTGTTGTCGACAATAAATAGAAGAAGACCGAAGAGAGCAAGGAGAAAGTATCTCCGGCGCAAGATAAGGATTCCTCATCATCCTCCTCCCCTGCATCCCCTCCAACTCCTCAAACTTGCGTATCCCCATCGACAACCCCCTAACAAGGGGATAAACATCTTCTTTCCACGCCGCATAGTACCCACCACCACCACCACCATCCTCCCCAGCATGACCAAGAAGACCATGAAACTCCCTTGAATCGAACACCCGCGCATCCCCCAGATCCCCCAACTTGACACATATCCCATTCCCAGTATTCCCACTCCCATCCTCGGAAGAACAATCCCACGAAAGAAAAACATTCTCGACACAAACCCCCCCATGCACGACTCCCATCTCATGAAGAAACTCCAGTGCGCTCATAATCTGATAGAAGATCCTATCCGCGATCATCACTGCATCTTTCCCCCTCTCCCTCATTACTAGCATATCTTCCCATGCTTTGGAGCATATATACGTTCCCAAATCCCCTAACTCGCAGTACTCGCTCACGAGACACGTCTCCCCCCTCGAGTTGGGAAGAATGTCGATTGTTTGGAGAAGATGCGGGTGCTGAAGGGTGGAGGAGAGGATGGATTCGAGGGTTGATTTTAGGGTGCGTTTGGTCGAGGAGGGGGTTGGGCGGAGGGTTTTGAGGACGTATACTTCTTTCTTTCTTCTTTTTTCTTTTCTGGGGGTGTTGGTGTTGGTGGTGTAGAGACGGACGGAGCTGGAGGTGCCGTAGTGGAGGATTGTGGTGCAGGTGCCGTATTTTTCTTTTAGAGATTGGGGTTTATTATGTGATTCTTGGGGTTGGGGTTGTTGTTGTGGACGGTGTGGGAGGAGAGGACTCTCTTCTGACATGGATATGGCATCTTTGTCTGTGTCTGTGTCTGTCTCAGAGAGGATATTGGTAGTAGTCGTGTTGGGTGTATGTGTATGTGTAAGCCATGGAAAAGGAACCGAAGATAATGAGAATGAGGAGTCTGAGAAGGGAAGTTTGAAACAAAAGTAATTTTTGGCTATTGCTATTGTTGATGGCATGATACCTCTCTAGTTAGTATCGAATATGTAGAGAACAAGATGGAAGTAGATGTTAATGTAGTATCATGTAACAAGGGGAGCACCATCATGTATATACCCCTACTACTACTACTACTAACCAACAAACTTACAAAGTATGCGGCAATTGTCGATCAGTCAGAGTGCGGAGGTTAGTCGTACCTCCTGACAGACGAAACTAAATGTATGGTCCAAGCACGTCCAACTTAATCCCTCGCGGCGCGAAGGATCACCTCACCTCAGACATCATCAGACGTCTTTTACTCCGTGGTTATAGACTTTACTAAAGTAACCGACTAGATCAGAGTGAGTGATCACCACTTACGTAGACTGATAAACTATGTAGTGTCGTCCAACATATAGTTAGCTAAGTTATCAGACAGAACGCACTGTAGCTGCTACCTGCACAGCATCAAGCAAGGGTCAGTCACCGTCACCGCCAGTCCCAACTACTAGTACTATTCGATGGGCAGGTGAGGGATTTCCATCACCAATCCTATTCTGTAGATTTTCTCTCTCTACTGCAGCTAGACTACCCCGCGCCAGCACCATCCAGACCAAATATGGGGCTTGTTGAACCGCGGGACGGAACTGAACTGAACCAGAACCAATAATCTAGTCTACTTGGTCTGTCTGTCTGCTGCAGTGCATAACATTCCAGGTAAGCTGTAAGCTGTAGGCTGAAAATATAGTAAGTAGCTATAGCGTATAGCTGTCTATCGAATACTGCCAATATCATACACCATGCAACGACAGAATCCCAGTCCATCCAAAATCACCGACCAGCGAATTACCCTGCCATAGTAATATGTTCATCGAAGAAGAAGAAATGATTATCTAAATAGTGGCTGCGAGGTATCATCATCAATCATCGCACCTTGCCCGCCTCGCGCACTTCATGCATAAAGCCGTCCTCGTCACCCGCCGAGCCCAACATCCAGTAATCGCCCATCCCGGACGCCATCTGCCCGCCTCCGAACCCAGTCGCGGAGGCCGGGGCACTGTGTCGCTCCTGCGTCCGAGTGCCCCCCTGTCGGGGTCCCCAGCTGAGAATATCCTGCACCGCCTTGCGACTCTGGTCGTCCGGCTTGGTGTACCCAAACAGCTGTGGCTGCAAGCAACCGAGGATCGCGACGCCCGCCCGGATCATGATCCGGTCACCTTCGAACACCCAGCAGTCCCAGACCCGGCTGAGACGCTCCAAGTCCAGCCCGTTCGTCAGCAGAGACCGGAACATCGGTTCCCAGATCTCTTCGTCGCTGAGTCGGAGCGTCTCGTGCAAATGCGTCATCAAACGCGGGAATTTGTATTTCAGCGTCGCAGACGCCAGTGAATATGTACGACCGATCGCCCCGCGGTCCAACGTAAGAAAAGCAACAGGGAGCGGCCGATTGAGCGCATTGGCCATGGCAAGGAACGCCGACGATGGCGATGGAAATTGCAAGACAAGCAGGGCAGCAATGGTCTAGAATCGTTAGTCATGAATCGTTGAGGAGTACGAAAGGAAAACTCACATGCAAGCCACTGACATAGCCCACGTCGCTGCGATACATAGAGTAGGCCTGCAAAACATCGATCAATGTCTCGCGCAGCGGACCGCCGACCTGAAACAAGTTCAAATCGGGGAATGCCTTGGACGCATCAGCGTCGATCGCCTCGAACCAATCCCTCATGCGCTTGTTGGTCTCCCCTGAATCACCCTCGGGCCGCGCCCGCACGTCCTTGGCGCGTTGCAAGGCCTTTTTGTATGTTTCCTCGGAGAGAGCCAGCTCATTGCCGATAGCACGCTGCCAGGTCGAGCCCCGGATCCGAGGCGGCACTCCGCGCCACCATAACTCCCGCGTACGGGTTTCATTAATGACATTATCCCAGTTCGGGTACACATACTCGTCCCAGATCTGCTGGAGAGTCTCGCGAGTGTTGTCTTTTTCGCATTTCGCGGAAGCAGCCTTCGCAGCACGACGCTTGTCTGATCATTGTCAGTTACCGATCATTGCAATGAATCGAGTCACATACCTGCTTCCCGGGCCTGCGCCATCATCCGCTTGTATTCCTTCAAATGCCGCTTTTCCTCCTTCTGATCCTTGGGAGGCAGCCAGCTGGGCCGCGTCCGCGTCAGGACCTTCTCTTTCTCCTTGCTGGGAGGTAACGGATCGATCATGATGTTGGATTTCTGCAACGGGGGCAGCTCAATGGTGCTTTTGGACCCACGCTTGGACTCCTCGCTCGACCGGAGAGAGGAGAGCCCGCTTTGCAGGCGCTCTCCCCGCTGGCGCTGGCGCTCATCGGCGTGGAATTCCAAGGCTTCCGTAATGATCTTGGCCTCTTCCGACAAATCCGACATCATATTGTTGTATGAGTATGCTCGCGGGTTGCGGGGCGAGATCTGACCGCGCTCAGGTCCTGCAGAGCTGGAACGATTGTTGCGGGTCGTGGGGGATCGTGAACCGGAAGGCGACCGAGGAATGGTGACATCGGAAACCGAATGCGACAGCGGCAGGGGTCGAGGGCCAGGACTGCGACCGTTGGGGCTGGAGGCCCGGGACGGCGCTCGATCCTGTACCGGCCGCGGGGAGATGGGGACATTCCAGAGACTTGCATCCTCGGGTAACTCTTCATCGGAGTCATGGTATTCATCCTCCAAGTCTTGCACGGTTTTGCGAGGTCGCTGCCACGATGGCTTTCGGTTGAGGGTGGGGGTATTGACGGGATTCAGGGACAGGCTGTGTGTAGACGGCGACGAGCTCAAGCTCGATGTTGGTCGCAGTGGGGATGTGGAACGCGAACGATGAGGCTTCGTGACTTGAAGGGCTGATTGCTTGGTGGAGGCTGGATCCCGCTGATTGCCGGTGCGGTGTTTGGGACCGCGGCCCGGCTGAGCCAAGGTGCCATTGACCTGTTTTCCGGCAGGGTACGCGGTCTTTGTTTTCGTGGCTGTCAGATCGCGGGTTGTCGCAACCGCCGATTTGGTGTGCATAATGGCCGCTGAAGCTCGGGCGATTCCAGCATTTTGGACGTACGGGGTTGCACCCTTGGCGTAGGAGACATGCACATCGTCCTGGAGGTCCACTTCTTCGAAATTGGAGATATCAGTGAAGATGGCTTCGGGGCCCGAGTGCTGCGAGGAGGAACGAAAGGAGGAAGACTTGGAGGACTTGGACCCGGAGAGGTCAGGAGGGGAATTCGGGGTGGTCGTACAAACGGTTGTCATTGCGGCGGGAGAAGCTGCAGAGTTCGAGACTCTTCCCAGATCAGAGTAAGGGAAGAACCTCAAGGGCGGATGAACCTCAAGCCGCTGCGAGAACCAGGAACGAAAAGAATGATGATGCAAACACGTCCGATGGTGGCGCGAATTGAGAACAAAGAAGATAAAGCCGTTATCAGGAACGAAAGACGGGGGGTGGTAAAGAGGTGGGATGATCTCCGGATGGTATTAATTAATAGGTGTGTGACGGAAGAACCCCAAGCAGGATGCCGCATGTAATGGAAGCGGCAGAACAAGTGGCGGCGGTTTAAGAAAGGGTCGAGGGGGGCGAGGCTGTTTTTCTTGTTTCAATTTTGGTATTATTCTGGTCCTCCTCTTACTATGCACTCAAGGGATTCAGGAGTTAATCGTGCAGCTAGCAGTGCATTTGGGGGCCGGAGCCGAAGGGGGAAGGGGACGGGGAGATGAAACGATCCCCGACAAAAACCGAGACAAGAGGCAGATGAGACAGCAGCAGAGGTGGAGGAGGAGATGGGAAACGATGGACTAGACTAGACTCAAAGCGAAAGACTAGGATTGGGATGTAGGGTAAATAATAAAAGAAAATAAAGAAAAGAAACGAAAGTGCCAGGGTGAGAGAGAGGAAAGCAGAGCGACTGAGAATTTGGGGGGAAGAAACTGAATGGGAAAAGAAGGTGGTGGTGGATGATGAATGAAAGAAGAAGAGGGAGTAGGAGGAGAAGGGGGATGGGATGGGATGGGATGGAGATGGGGATAAGATTAGGATGGGGATACTACTACTAACTAAAGGATGGATGCAATCAGACCAGCAAGAGTACTTACTCCGTCCTTAGTGAGCCGGGCTGAGTGAAGCTGCTGCAAACGAGCAACGAGGAAAAGGCAGTTCTGGACAAGGCCTGGCCAATCCCACTCGAGGCACTAGACAGCGATGGACTGGCGATCATTGGCTGTCTCTTCCAGAAGGATGTCTGCCTCGAACAGCGCACGGATTAATGGATGACTAGAATGGCCGTGAAATGAGGGTGGATATTTTTCTCACCAGGAAACGGTTCGAGTTAGTACTAGATTTAGTAGGATTAGTAGGATTAGTGAGATGAGTAGGCTCTGAAGAGTATAGCGTCTTGTGTCGTGTGTACTCTGTATGTTTGCGAGTTACTAGAGCATTACCCGCACCGCCACAGCCGAAATGAAGGCTGATACTCGGTTTCCACCCTGTTATTTTTCCAGGAGAAGAAGAGAAAGAGAAAGAGAGAGAGAGAAAAAAAGGTGCACGCAGTCACTACTACGTATTCTGCTAGTAGTAGTTCGCTAGATAGCTGGATAAACCCTTATGAACTTGCTCTGAATTGAACTTCATTCCTCTTTGTTGACAATTTACCGTTGATGGGCAACCACTCCCGCCCAAGTATTTTGCCTCCCCCTTTTCCAAGGTTTTACTCTATTCTTCCCCTTCTTCTCCCTTCAGATCTCCCCTTCCCCCTGATCCAATTCTCCGTTGTCCATGGCCACCAGATCCGTGGT